TTTAATTTTATCAGATTAAATTTGGGAGGGTTTTTTTTTTATTCAGGCTGCATTGCAGGTTGTGTTATCTGTTTCATTTATGAGGAAAAACACTATCTTTTGGAGCTAAATGAGATTCTTGCAGCTACTTTTTCTTTCATTTTAATGTTATTGTAGCTTAGAAAGAGATCAACCTCAGGGGCTAGCTCCAGTTTAAATTCATTGTCTGTGAAAATAAAGTGATGGGTAGGGGCAAAAGCTAAATAATTGCAAAGAGAGGAGAGGGAGATGTAGTTAGCTATGTTAGTTTGAAGTTACATGCAGAAGATGGGACAGGGTGGCAGCTTTATAGTGTTAGTCTATCAAGTGCTACTTTATTCTGCTTTCTGCCTAAGGACGGGAAAATCAAAATTTGTAAAACATTAAATCTACTTACTTACTCCCAGAGAAAGAGGTAGGTGAGATGTAACACCAAGGTCCTATTACTTGCAGCCAATAACTATAGCGTGCTTGGTAAGAACTATGTTATTAACCTTGGTGTCCTAACAAATTTCTGCTTCAGGTAATCAATTCAGACTCTCTGCACTTTCAGAGGGACTTAGAATTTTCTCTTCCTGTCCAGTTGTGCATGGTTGCTCTGTAGCATTCAGTAGTAAGCATGTCCTACACTAAATGTGGTTGCATTTTTTGTGTGTATTTTGCATCAGTCATTTAAGATGGAAAAAGGTCTTGTAGATTCTTGGAAGTCAAAAGGTATGGTATTAAACATAAGATGAACATCTGCACAGAAGGTCTTGAGGAAGGCGAGAGAGAGAGCCAAAACTATGTGGAAAGTTTGCATAAGAGCTGTAGAAAAGGCACTCTGGTGGCTCATGGGAAAAGCAGAAATGGAGACAGTATAGGGCTACATAGAGGAGGAAAACCAAAGCTGGTTGGGTAGATAGGAAATACCTTATTTAATCACAGAATTATGATAATTTCTGCAGCGCACACAATTCCTGCACCCCCACACCAGCTTTGGTGGCAAGAGCCTCTTCCTTACTGTGTGAGTTTTGGTTTGGTGGGGATTTTTTCTTTCTTTTTTGTCTCAGATGAAAGACACAAAGCACATGTCTGCCCATCTAGGTTGCTTCCTTTGGGACTCCTGATCACGCCATTGAGAAACATGGTTTCACTCATGCTTCTGCTCCACACACAGCAGATGTAGAAATAAGATGGTGAAGTAGCTGTAAGGATGCTTGGTTTCCAATATGCTTGAGAGTGGCAGCAGGGCATCCCCTGGGCAGCTTCACCACCTCACTGCTGGATTTGACATCTGTAGAGCAGAACCTTGTGGTCCAGGCTGTGCTTGGGTGGGATCACTGAGCACTCTGAATGTTCAGTGTGAATTATCTGTGCAGAAGTACAATAGAAGAATGCACAACTGTGGCCCAACTTCAACATGAAACCTTTTTCCTTTTCATGTACTTGGCACTCCCGGGTGTACATATGGTGTCTCAGTTCTGACTAAAGTGCATGATTACCAGGGATCCAGGTTTGCTGTTTCCCACAGAAAACACAGAAAAATACAGATTTTTCTCCAGAAAATCATGGATTTTCCTCTTTAAAGGAGAAAAACCTGGAAAACCATGGGTGCCAGCCTGCAAGGGGCTGCTTGGGGCTGGGGTGAGTGGCAGGAGGGCGATTAGAAGCAGGGGGCCATGTGCATGTGGACATGTACGTGGCCAGCACTGCAACCAGGAGAGCAGCTTCTGCAGCTCCCTTCAGGTAAGTCTATGGGGGGAGCATAGGTAACACATGGAGAGGGGATATAGGAGATGTGTGGGAGAGGTGGGGGTGCAAAGGTGATGCATGGAAGGGCATGGAGGGGCACATGCTCCCCAGATTTCTATGTCCACAGTGGTGGTCAGAGCACAGCATGTGGAGCCACCTTCTGGCTGGACTGGCACCAGGCAGATGCCACCTCTGTGGCTGCAGCCTTGATCTCTCCTGTGGACACAGAAATCTGGTGGGGCATGTTGCCTCATACCCCCCACTATGGCATTGCCTATGCCCACACACCCTCTTGCCCTACTGTAACAGGGGGTCTTCCTGGGGCCACCTTCCCAGTGGCCTGCCCACCTGTTTCTGGGCTAACCACCCGCCTTCTCGCCCACCACAGCTTGTTGGTAATTATTTAATTGATCTTAATAAAGCTGGAGGCTGCCCATTTCCTGCCCTGATGCCAGGGGGCACTATCTGCGGGTCTGATCCTCCCCTACACCGCAGCCCAAGCCTCGCAGAAGGCATCTAGATGTTCTCACAATCATCAGCCCCATGCTGGGCCCCATATTCCTAGTGTTGAACCTCTCTATGATCCCTCCATTCCAGCAGCCAAATCCACCTTCATCCTGGACAGCATAGCTCCCTGAACTGCTTCCCCTTCTGGGTGTGATCCTCCTGGGACCTTTGGCTCGCTAGGCCTGGCCCACCTCCAAGCTAGTCAGAACCCCAGGCCCTCAGCTCTTGGGCATTCCTCACAGTGGGCCCCTGGCCCTTCAACCCTTCTGGTCCTGGCCCCAGCATTGACCAGTCAGGGGAAGTCCAGACAGGCCTGAGTCTATAGCCTCACTCTCTTTTTCTGGGGGTCCACCCTCCAGAACCTACAAAGGTGTAACCCACCCAGATGTGGGGGCTAGGGGTTAAGGCACCCTGACCCGCCTTTCACCAGGGTGGTAACTGGCCTGGTATTTCCTGGGGGAAATACCACGCCACTGAGAGCCCCACCAGACCACCCACTCCCAGCAGGGTGCAGTTTTAGGTCATGCCCAGGATCACAAGCTTCCTGACCATCCCCTACAGCTCCTCCCTTACCTCCAGATAGAAATCAGCAGCCCTCTGGCCAGGCAGTGTTGTTGCCTGACCTCCAGCAGCCAAACTGCCTTGTTTATATAGGCATCCCTGGACCTAAAATGGCTGCCCTCATTAGGCACCTGGAGGCTGCCAGCTCCAGGGCCTTAAAGTGGCAGGCACAAACAGTGCCCTGCCACATCTACACACCACCCTATGCCCCACACACTGGAGTCTGGGGGTGGGAAGCAGTGGGTCAGGAGTGAGGGGCATCAACAGGGCTAGGGGGAAGGTGGAGGACTATGTGTAGGGAGTCAGGGGCACAGGTATGGGCAGGGGCACAGCACTGGCATATCAAGGCTGTTCAGTGCCACAAAGCAGGAGGGGGGGACAGCTGCAGCTGGGCCTGCATCCTGATAAGCAAAGGGTGCAGGGGGATTTTCTATGATAAAAAAAAACAAAATCAAATGCCAAAATACATAGATATTAATTTTATTATAATGACTGAGGTGCTGTTAGGCTTCCAAATTGCTTTAAAATTGTAAATCTCTCAATAAAGCTGTGTGTTCAACTGATACCTATACGTAGAGTGGCATTTCATTTTAATCATGGAAAAATATGGATTTGGGGAGTTTTAATCAGGGGATTTTGGATTTTTAAAGAGAGAAAACCAGGATCCCTGATGATCATTTTTATTTGGTTCAGATCAGAGGGCACAGGGTATCAGGAAGGTGATTTATTCTTCATTGAAACTGAATAAATATTTGGGATTTTCTTTAGCTGGTTGCCAGGGCTGTCCCTAGTGATGCGCAAATCGCAGCGACTGCCCCAGGCCCTGTGCTTTGGGGGCCCAAAGAGCTGAGTGGAGCAGCTGCGGCAACTTTGGCGCTGCCACTGGCTTCACATCTGGCCACTTGACACCCCCCCCCCACCACCGGCTTCCTCACATCCGGGGGTGCAGTGCTACACAAGCTGATTTGCCCTGGGCCCCGTACCCTGCTCAGGTCATCTCTGCTGTTTGCCCTCCTTCTCCCCTCAAAACAACTAACCCCCGCAACAAATATACAACTAAAATGTAGTGGTTGGGCCTAAATTTATCTCCACTAATTCTTTCAGATTGAAGGATTTTTCAAAGCTCACTATGAAATTTAGCTACAGAACACCCACTCATTCCAATGGGCTTTCATGGCTTTGAAAATTAGAATAGCAGCATGTTATACAATTCATAAATGTATTTAGAAAGAGTGAAATGGGAATCACATCAGTTCAAATTCTTGTGCAGAAACTAACAAGTTAACATGGTTGTGGAGATAAGCTTGCAAACTTAAAGGAAGCTTAAAGGATCAGAAGGAAAAACCACAAGCATACACACATACACAGGTATGCTATTTTTTAAAAGTGGAGCAATTTTTGAAATGTGTCAAGATTTTTGACATCTTGGCAATTCTGTAATTATAAATCTTGTGTGTCAATAATTGGTTGCTTAGTCTTCGGGCAACCGATTTCATTTTGACTAGTAAGAAAATTTCAGCAAGAGGAGTCCTTGCTTATAACTCTGATTTGTAAGTTCCAAGATGCAGCCAACTCTATCTGATTTCAACTGTAAAATCTGTTGAATGTCCCAGACAGTGAGGGTGAAATAACCAGAGTAATTCACAATAGCTTATGAAACATATATAAACCAATGACTTCCTTTTGCTGCAGATGTGCCATAAACGAAGTAGCGATATTTCTATATCTAATTAAAATTGTATTATTCCTCAAATCTTCCTTTTGTCCCCTGTATATGTATTATTGCAAATAACTTACACCATAAGCAGAATTGCAGGTATAATCAGTCCTGGATTTGCCACGTAACTGAAGATCTTGGCTACAAAAGCTGGGAAATCAAGCTCAATGGTCTCTTGAATTACATCAGACATTCTTTTCTTTCCACTGGAAAGATAAAACCATCAATTAAATACTGTTTATGGCTCATGAAAGGCAGCTATTATGCCTTCTTTAACAACTTGAACTCATTAGGGTTTGTTTTTTTTTAAGAATAATCAAGAAATCTCTCTTCATTGTTTGCCAACATGATGATTCCTGTTAAAAATGTTGACATTAAAATGTTTTTAAATGATTTCATTTACAAATATCTTATATCCAGTTTTCACTGAATCCCAGGAATCTTGATTATGTGAATGACAGCTACAAAAACTAACCAGCTTCAAAGATGTGTAGGTCTGTGTGTGTTCTCTTCTGAAGCTACTAAATAAGCTCTCAAGATTTACTTCTCTTTAATGAGCAAAATATTATTTTTGTTACTTGGATAACTTATTTCAACCCATAAACTTCTGATTCTAATATCATATTGGCCTTTTCCTTGTGGACATGCTTTTTCCTACACAAATCAGTTATTTTCAAAAATATGAACCAGTGTCAACAACAGCTGAGAAACAGTAAAAATTGAAAGAATCATTTTAACATAATAGTAAGGCTACTGAAGGAGTCATTTTTAAATACATTTTAAAATTAAATGTAATTGTAAACAAATGGAATAAAGCTCCACAGACCTAGACTTGAGTTAGATGCTCTAATGAGTACTGTATCAGTACAATGGACATGTTTCTCCTCACCTTCAGTCCTCATCTACAGAATTGCTGAATGCTTAATAATTTTTATTAAATAGAAAACACTTTTGAATTCTGATTTGGAAAGTCAGATTCTATTTCCAACAGGGACTGACTCGACTAGACAGTACTGCCAGTTTGCCAGCTTTCCTTAATCAAGTAGCATTAAGTTTCTATCAAGATCCTTCAATATTGTCATGGGAAGGATTTGCTTGGGAGGAAAGGGGGAGCACGTAAAAGCAGCAGATATAAATGACTTTGAGAGACTGCAAGATTAAAATATCTGTTCTTTAGTGCTTTAAGCAAAACTTAGATCTGTGAAATGTTAGAAGTTTATTTATGGCATTGAAAGTCTCTTATCACTCAGCTACACCAGGCACATATGCTTACATTAAGTGGAAGGTTGGAGCTCAACAATTTAATATTATTAGCTAGCAAGTTTTTATTACCTGAAACTACAATGTCTCTGAAAGGTGCTGGTCTGACAGCTCTGGGACTGAAGCCTGTCTGTTTAAAACAAGTGCAGTATGAAGAACAGAAAGTTCCTTGCATTGCTTCAAAGGAGAGGGTTCATCTCTTACAATGGAGAGCAAAGACATGTCTCCTGTGACTTACAAAGAGTTACCAGTTAGCTTTTAAGATATGGACCCTCTGTGGTGGGAAGGAGAGTAAGACCGCTGACTACACAGGTATGGGAGGATGTCTAATCTGGGGCTTGGGGATCAGATCCCAATCACATCCTACTTGCCAGTAAAGGAGGAGTCTGGAATCATAATCCTGGGCTCTCCTTGCACCACTAAACTGAAAGCTAGGAGCCTAATGCTTGGCTGAAAGCCGGCTGCCTCTGGGATGGCACTGGAGCTGAAACTGGCCCCAGGCTCTGGAGCCTGCCAATGGTCAGCTGATGTTCACACAGATTGAGTTGATATGGGAGCTCAAACCCACCCTGCTTAGGTCCCCTCACTGGGGTGGGTTGGAGTTCTTGTGCAGTTCCAAGTCCAGCCAATGATCAGCAGATCCTCCTCTGGCTGGGATCAGACCCAATTCCAGTTCAGTCCCTGATCTAGCTGATGACCAGCTGACTGTCCTCCAGCTCTGGGAACTGCACTAGGGCACATTCAAGCCTCAGTGGGGTCCTGATCCAGCCAATGATCAGCCGATCGCTGGCTGGTGGGGACCACACCAGGCCTGATTGGAAACCTGATGCAATTCTAACGCTGCCACACCTTCAGTTTAAGGTGCAATGAAGACCAACCACAAAATATTACATGCTTTTTGTGTGATATTTTTGTGGCTGTTTTCCTTTTTTGTGGCACAATTAAGTGTCTGAACATGTGGGTGGGTTACTGTTTGAGATGCAATTAACAGACTACAGTGTGCTGTCTACCAGGGGCCTTTTGTTAACTCTCCTTAACGTTCCAATGTTAATTCACAATTCACGGCTCCCTGTGCTAGCCTGACCTGACAAGATGAAAGGTTCTGCAACACCTCTCCAGGTCCCCTCAGGCATCCAGTCTTATTGTAGCTGATTATACAAATTACATAATAATGGGTACTTGTGGATATGGGGACAAGGCTGAGCCTATGGAGATGGGTACTGGGGAATACTTTCAAAGAATAAGAGCTTCAAATCCTGCAAGTGCTGTCCATACAGTTAAGCACATCTTGGTATTCCTCTTGTCTCTAAACTCTTCAGAAATTTCTACCATTAATTTTAATTACAAATAAAGCCTAAGGCGGTGCAACTAAAGAAACAATCTGTCCCAATCTGATTGCTCACTAGGTGTGTCTACATGTTCATTAATGCACCATAGTTACTGTGCATTAAATTTAGTACTTGCAAAACCAAGTACTAAAACAATGTGCAATAACTGGTGCTACTGTGCAGTAGTGCCGACACACAGGTCTTTACAGATGCTAACTGTGCAGTAGTATTAGGCTACTGTGCAGTTATTGTCTGTAAAAACCCGTGCACCAGCACTACTGCAGTGTTATTAGGCTACTGTACAGTTACCATCTTGTGTAGATGCACTCACTGAGTCAGACAAAAGTGTACACTAGGTAAGTGTTACACAATCCAATGAGTGGATTGCTCTGTTAATCTAGGTGTAGGAGTTTCATGAGATCATAGGAAAGTAGGACTGGTAGGGACCACATGAGGTCATTTAATCCAGTCCCCTGCTCAAAGCAGGATCATATCTGACTAAACCATCCCAGCCAAATGTCTGTCCAACCTTCTCTTGAAATTGTCCAGGGATGGAGATTCCACAATTTTTCTTGGTAGCCTGTTTCAATGCTTGACCACCCGCCTAATTTCCAAGCTAAATTTTCCCTGTTTCCCCAATGATGTTCTATTATTGGAGGCAGCTAGTGCTTGAATAAAGTGAATTCACTGAAAGATAACATCACTGGAAGACAGCAGACAAAAACTAGGAGTAAGTTCCTCCTAGGAGTAAGTAACCTGCCCCACCCTACTCCATTCACTATTGGTTCCAAATCACAGCTTGTAACTTTTCTTTATACTCTAAAGAAGATTATAATATGACTAAAATTGAAAGCATTGTCCAGTCACCACTGGATAATAACTTCTTAACTGTCAGCAACAAAGTTTTGTTTTGTTTTTAATAAATCTTTTTTTGTGGGTTTTGGTCATACCTGAATGGTCCACAGTCAAAGGAAGGAGGGAGGGACATTATGGTGTAGGCCACAGGCAGTAGGCTTAGGAACAGGATGAGTAGTAAGAGTCCCATATAAAAATTGTTGGATTTGGATGCTTTAAAAACACGCTCATGAGGAACATTGCTACTCATAACAGCCCAGCATTGAAAATACATGGAGGTTAATAAACGCAGCACATTTATACCAACAAGCCCTGGTGCATAAAAGGATCCCATCCTAGAAAGAAAAGGAGGAAGAGAGATTGCTGTTTATTAAGGTCAGAAGGGTCATTTGCGTTAAGAGCTGCAAACCATATGTTAGCATAGTTATAGAGTATGTTTGCAAATGGAATCTAACCAAACCCCATCCTAGAAATGGCGTCAGCCGATGTTACTCTTATCCCCTCACTCACTCAGAGGAGAAATTTCAAATCCTGGATGAATTTCCATCCACCTATAGCTGGGCTAAAGCCCAGTGTAGATGTGCAAGTACATCAAAATTGCACCTGTCTGAAAAGCAGGATTTCACTTCTAAATCCAATGATCTTTTTTTCAATTGCTTTCAGTCCAATTCATATATATTAAAAGTGGTTTACCCATGAACCAGAAGTTTTAAGAAAACAGGCTTTTGAAAACCTGACTACACAGTGTTTTCAAACTAAAATATGTTCTTCAGACTACGAAGGTGACATCTCTGCTAATAACAGTTTACCAGAAAAGCTGTCTAGGATATTAGTCAGTGACTCTGTTTGGAGTCAGGAACTAGGAAACACCATCATGGTTAGTGCCCCTGACTCATGAGCCTTATAATTTTGGTATCCCTGACCTTACGCCAGTTCACTTAACGGGTATGTCCCAGAGCTGGGAAACCCTGGAAGCCCCAGACACTAAGGTCTGGGCCAGTCCAGGGTCCCTGCCTTGGATTCTATAGAAGATGTGGTTCAGGCTCACAGGGGATGGACATTTTCTAACAACCTTTTGTTTTGTGAGAATATTTCTGAGTAGTTTGAGATTTTTAATTGTTAAAAAACAATCTAGCCCTTACAGCTGAGAAAAAAAGCTTGAATATACAAACTGGGTGCATCTACATGAGATGTTACTGAGCAGTAGCAATGAGCTACTGCACAGCAGACTTGCTACTGAGTGGCATCTGAAAAAAACCATGTGGCAATGGTACTGTGCAGTAATGCCAGGTACAATGCAGTCATTTAGTACCTGTGCAAGTACTAAATGACTGCACAGTAACAACTTCACAGCTCGTTGCTCATGTAGACATGGCCACCGAGTACAAATGGAGTATAAGAAATGCAGAAACATCTGTTTGCATGAACAAAATGGAAGCCACTCCACACTAGAGCAGATTAGACCCCTGTGCTCACTTGAGGGGTGACCTTGTCATCGCTTCCAATGCAGCTAAGACAAGAGATGTTATTGTCACTTGTGCATCCTTCAGATGGGCAACAAACATCCACTGAGTTGTGCCTCTTGTTCTTTTAATCTAAAATTTTCCAAATATTTTTTACTTTGTATCTGAGGACTGGGTTGTAATCTTATTTACCTGTTTCCTAACAAGGAATAGTACTTTTTAACAAAATACAAAAATTGATCCTTCTAGTTTTCAAATTCTAGCTGCATTGCTAATCTTCTGGTTACTTAATACCATTAAAGACTTTCTGCTCAAAGGCTATAAATGGAAAAAGGTATCTTACCAGATCATTCCTTGATTGAAGATCAAGCCCAACACATTGCCACTGATATCAAATTCAGCATAAGAGGGCTATACAAAAAGAGGTGAAAATAATTTTGCAATAAATATTCTGATGCTTGTTGTGACAAGGTGTAAAAGGGCCTGCCTAGTCAGAGTGGATAAGATATTTCAGGGTGCTCTCATGTTCTACATCTATTGCCCAAATGATTTGATATGGAGCTAGGAAAACAAAGGGGGAAACTAATGCATGGTTGGCTATTTCCTCTTCTGGTTTGCTGGAGGTGCTTCTCAAGTGTTTGGTTTTCAAGTCTTCTATGTTAATAAAACCAACTATGATGAACGAGCCTGTATCTGCGGGACTGATTTTTTTTTCTTCTCTGGGGGCACGTCTACACCTCATGCTATATGGCCGCAGTGATGTGCTACATCACCATAGCAATGCACTATAGTGACATAGCAATTACATGCAGCTACACATCACCAGCAGCTACTTTGCTGTAGCAGTGTGCTCCCCTGTTTTAGCATGCCACTACAGCAAAGTAGCAACTAAAAATAACTGTGCGCTGTCTGTACGATGCAGTACAGGTGGTTACTGCACCACGCTTTAGTACTTCCAAAAGAAAGTACTAAAGCACAGCGCAGTAATGACATTGCCATAGGGTGACGTGTAGATGCGCCCTGGATGAGGTATCTAGCCACTGGCTTGGTTTCATCCTGACAAAGCATTTCTGGTTTACGTTTCTGACATTTCTGACAACTAGTTTGAATGTGAAAATTTCCCAGCTACATCCATTCCCACTTAGTTTACAGATAAGGATTGGGTAAAAGTAGAGAGAAAGATATATTTCTGAAGGAGATGGTGGCATGACTAGTGTGATGCTGTTTTGTTCTGAATTATGCAAAAACCTAAAGGTCAAATGACTTTACTGCTATATTATGCAAGTCAAGAGTGCCGAAGTTTACAATGGGCAAATATTTTTAAAATCTTACTGGAATATAGCATTGATCTTTAAGGGGCCATGGCAAAAGCCTCAGCTCTTGGGACATTTAAAAAAAGGAAAGGATAAGCAACTGAAGAATATGCACAGGAATAACCCTCATCTTGACTAACAAAGGGGTTGTAGTGTAAAATGAAACAGATGAACTAATTAGTCTTTTCTCGGTGTGTGTAAGATTCTTTTTAGAAAAACCTACTGTGAAGCACTTTTTTCTGCTGTAATGTAAGTGGGTTGAGGCAGGAAAAGAGGGAAGGTGGGCAAGAGAAATCTATCTGGCAAAATGCTACATGCAGCCCAAGTAGGGTGAGCAATATTGTTTTGTTTATGTACAGATGACATTCCCACATATTTTTTCTATGCAGGAACAAGAGGAACAGCAGTCCTACAACAGGCATTAATTCAGAAGGCTTGGTCTCAGACATAAGGGAGGACAACTTTAAATGCTTGTGATTTCCATTCATTTCACAGAAACAGTATTTTGTTAAGTCAAGATTTAAAACAGCGATGGCAAAACTGAAGCTGGTTTTATAAAATATTTTTGGAGAATATATAAAATTTGGAAAATGTATGGACGTGTGTGTATGTGTGTGTACACACACACACACACACACACACACACACACACTCTCTCTCTCTCATATCTTCAAAAATATTTCACAAAACAAGCTTATATAATGTATGTATGAGAGAAAGTATTTTTGGAGTACCAGGATTGGCTTAGATTAGTGTTTTGTTTATCCAAATGCACACAGTTTTAGACAAAATGGGCACAGCATACACTTGTGGTTCTGGTCCATTTCTAATATATTGCCATTCACCTAAGTGGCTTTTTGTTTCAGTGAAATAGCTGCAACCTTTGTAGACTGCTGTCTTGTGGTCAATTTTAGCTTTGGGCACTTTCAAATTGGTAGGCGAGGTTGCATCAAGGGCACGTTCACAATCTGTGACAGAAAAATATGAACATTAATGGTATCGACCCAAATACTGGATTTGTATGGATGATTACCAGCAGTTCCTGGTAATAGAAACTGGGGAGGCTGTATTTTAAGAACAAGGCTTTTTGCAAGATTTTTTTTTCCGATGTTACTTAGCTAGCTCAGAAACCGTGAGGATTGCCTGTCCTATGAGGACTAGTATGGTAGGAACCAAATGAAAGTAGGATGTTCAGGGAGGTGTGAAAAGAAGGAAGAGGGGAAATTTAACTAAGTAGACATGCAGACTTTCAAAAGGACTTGCTTTGGATTTTGTACCATTTTGGGGTTATAAAAACCATAGGTTCTGCTTTTATTTAGCTGAGAGAAACATATTGTTCCAGTATCAAGCTTCTATACAGCACAGTGTGCACGGTTCAGGGCCATGGGGAGAAAGCAGTGTCTTCCCCTAATGGACACTGCTGCCTGAAGCCACAACTTAGTCCTTGATAATCAGGGGCTTCATTCCACTCCAACAGAATTTCCACAGAACTGGATTAGGTCCCAAGGCCTTAGCCTGCTTCGCCTGTTAAGCTTGTGATTAAATTTGGAATGTGATTTATGGTTGCAAAATGACCTTGCAACCTGACTGTGACTGTCAGGGCCAGGGAGAAGAAAAGGAGAAAGCATAAAATAAGCCCTACAAGCAGCACTCGTTAAATATCACTGAAACAGACAATGGATGTAAAAGGAGTGGGTTTTATTTAGCAAAACAGGCCTTGGGGACAAAAGAGACCTACAGGCATCTGCATTACTTTGTTGAAGGCATCTCATGAAGCAGCCACAAAGCATAAAAGAAATGCCAAAATAGCATTCTCAGAGGCTGTTTGACGAAAGCATCCAGGAAAGTCAAGTGCATCTAACAGAGAGAAAATCAGGAATGGGGTTGTGGCCTGGGAGAAAAATGATTCTCAGAAAAGGAAATTTCATAAGCACTAGCAATTGGAGGAGGAGCCATGAATAGTAGGGCTGTGCAAAGCTTTGGTTCCTGATTTGATTGGGTAGAGATTTGGCCTGATTCAGTAGCTGAATCTCTAAACCTGAATTGAATCAGAGAACCCTTTAAACTCTCCGCATCGATTTGGAGAGATTGGGAAAGATTTGGAGATTCAGACATAGAGACAGCTTTAAATGTTTTTCTACATACCTCTAGGTAGCAGGGGCTTGTGAGTGCTGCAATGCTAGGGCATGTGGAGTGTCCCACAGAAGCACGGGGGGGTCCCCAGTGTGCTCGGCAGCAGACCCTGAAGTGGACCAGAAGCACTTGTGGTCCACTTCCAGGTCCACTGGGGAGCATGCAGGGGGGTCCTCCACACACCCCCCAGCTCGGTGAATGGTGCCTCCTGGGCCCGGGGGGCACCCGGGGTCTCCCTGAGGCCGATCACCCAGCTGAGGAGGCACAGGGGGCCCCCCCAGCTCACTCCCCAGCACTTCCAGGTTTGCCACCAGCCCCCCTGCACTCCTGTGGGACACTCCATGCTCCCCAGCATCGCAGCGATCACGAGCCATGCCTGCTACCTCAAGGTATTTAGAGAAAATTTTTAAAGCTGTGTCTATGTCCAAATCACCGATTCTCTGAATCAGCATTGAATCTTCATATTCAGATCTGGCCGAATCGAATCAGGGACAGTGATCTGAATCGATGAACCGAATCACTGGCCCTGATTCGGGCTGAATCCAAATCCAAATCAAATAAGCCTGCTTCGCACACCCCTAATGCATAGTCTGGTTTCTTCAGGTTGTGTAAATCTCCAAATTCTATCACAGGATAAAGGTTCAAAGTGGTAGCAAGGATAAAGCACTATAGCCCAGGCAAAATTCCACCCCTCACTCCCTCCTTGCTGCTTCCTCCTTGCCCCTCTCTCCTCCTCAAAGGTGCAATAATAGAGGAAAGGGAATGGATGGGCAACAAACAAGAAAAAGAGACCTAAGGTAAAAGTGTGGTAGGTTTGTTGAGGTATGCTTTGAAGTCCTGACTCAACCTTGTCCTAAATGCCATGCTGAAAGCATCCCAAACTTCAGATAAAGTAGAAAGTAGAAAACACTTATTCTCTAGTCTGCATAAGACATTGACTTACAAATCCTGCCTCCAGATCCCAGCACCAACAGTAGTTCATAAATCTAACAAAACAAGCACGGAGGAAATCTCCCACAAGGATGGTTACATAAGTCACCAGAATGTCAGACACAGTGAGCCTCACAAACTCCTGTAGTTGAACACAAGGAAAGAACAATTAGCTACTATAATTTAAGTGGCACATATAAAGGGGATATTCTCCATTGATCTGTTGTGAATATGTGTTGTGATTTAAGGTTATTGGAGCAGGATATGACCCAGTGATAATCTAAGATTACAGTATAGCAAACTTGTTCACAGAATTCTCTGCATAATAATACATTTTGCCCATGTAGCTCACCCGTATGAATTGTCAGTATATCAGTTTCAGTTTCTTGAACAAGTTTTGCTAATACTTCTTTTCAATTTGTTGATTGATTCAGAGCCTCCCACATAGCACTATATCTACTCTTTTTATTACCTACTGGGTGAAAGGTGACACATTGTGAAAAATGTTATTTAAAGTAGCTCTTTAATAAAGTAATGTACTATCTGGTAATAAGGTTTATATAACAGACTGAAGTAACCAGAAAGAGCTTTAACTAGGTGGCTAGTATTTATGAAAGCCAAACATTTTGGAAAACCCACAAAGTCAACATTCAAGTGGATTGCCATTTCTGAAAATTTCACGTTAAATAGTTTCAACAAAACATTGAGTTGGTAAGAGAGACAAGAATATGGATCAAGTCTCCTGACATGCCATACTCTTTCAATAGGACCAGCCTCCTTTCCAAGAGTTTCATTCTGTGCAATGATGAATGCCTGTATCTCCTTTTAATGACAGTGGCAACTGAAATTATTGAGCTCTTGGGAGGGATTCAGAATCATGACTCTATGCTGCATGGCAGTGCTTCTACCAGCATACATAAAAAAAATAATCACACCAGAAACTTTTTAAAAATTTCTTATCCAAGATACTCAGATTGCTTACAATGCCAACAGTTGTTTCCCAGCAAGGTCCTCTTGGCACATCTGCTGGGTCAATAGGAGGTGGACTAAATGTACTATTGTTGACTGCAGATGAGTTGTAGTAATTAAGCAGGGTCCAATGTGTTATGTTCTTTATTACATCTTCTTCAGTTAGCTAAAACAGAAGAAATATATCCAGTTGAAAACATCCCAATGGGTCCAAATTAACCCAGAAGCTCAGAAAACACTTCCATGGTGGCCAAATGCACTCTCCAGCCTGAATTCAAACAGGTCCAAGCTACAGGCATTTCATTTTCTCTCTAGTGTGGCTACCAGCATGGTATGAAGGTGCCATTCCTAACTTGATTGCTATGAGAGATGAAGCCTATGGATTCACAATTTCATTCTACTTCTTAAATCAGGAGGTGGAACAGTCTCCTCTGACCTAATGGATCATGACATCTCAGGAAACCACTAACTTTGCTCAACACAGCAACTGAGAGGTTCAGCTGGGAAGAGATGCAGCATTGAAAGCTCTGGACTCGGGTCCCAGCTCTACCACTAGCCTGTTGGATCACCTCAAATAAATCATTTCTTTCTATGCCTCAATTTCACAATCTGTAAAATGGAGATAATATAAACTGCCTGCTTAAAAGAGCTGGGTATCTTTCAGAGGGCTTAGGTAATAGCCCATCAATCATTCCTGTATTGCAGGAAAGGGAGGGAGTTTGCACTTGACGAAAATCCTTTTCAACAGATTACGTTGGAATTAATAACAGTTTGCCTTTTCAATACCTACTATTGTAGTGCTCATATTAAGCCTAATTCATTTCCCCTACTGATACTCAATACCAGTGTAATCCATAGGTTTTCTCATGGATGTGAAAGGGATTACAAGTGGATCAACATTTGTATTCACCTTGCTGAAGACATGAGAATCTGGCCTGTCGTGAATAGATAAAATTGAATAGTTATATGTGTTTTTTACAAGTGTTCAGAGGAAGTCTTCACTGATTTATCTTGTAAGAACCTTTATTCACTTTGTGTATTGTTTTTCAGGGTAGAACAAGCTATTTTGATTATCTCTTACTCTTCATTTTATAATCAAGTGCATTTCAGTGTACCCATAAAACACCTGTTCTTTATATGCATTTAACCTTCCAGCAAAGCTCGAACAGAGGTGTATAAACTAAATAGAAGGGAATGCATTAATAGCAACTATCAAATAAAAAATAATATTCAAATTGTTCTAATATTCAATAATGACAGAGGACAAAAAGGCGTTGTTGTTTTTTTTTCAGGCTGGTAGCCTACATAGACTCAGCAGGGTTGCTCAGGTTAGTCATTTCTCAAGTTGCAAAACATGCTTTAAAAACTCTTGTTTTTAATAATGAAGGGCTGCATTATAAATGTGTGGCACCAATACAACCATTTGTTGTAAATAAGTGACGGCTAAGTATTTTTATATATATTGGAATATAAACATTTCATTCATATAACATCACAAGTGAACGTTTAGGTCATGGTAGTTATAAGAATTATGATCTTATGCATGTTGTATTCTAAAATCTATTAGGAATCCTGTTTTTCTGTTTCATCTCACCTTTTCATTGACATCATCCATTAATGCCAGTAAAAAGGTATAGAGGTTCCCCAGAAACAGAGCAAAGATCCGTCCCAGCTGCCATTTCAGTCCAATGCGAGGATGGTAATTCTCTAGGGCAGCAATGGTTTCAAACAGTGGAGGACAAAACATTCCTAGCAAAGACATCACAATTTCAACCTGTCAAATGAAGTTATAGTGGTTAGTAGAAAGAACAGCGATGTTGCCATTTGGAGTTCTTATCAGCATTTAGGCATGACAGCGTTTCACAAATTAAGGCACTAAGATCTACTTCTAATGAAGAACAAAACAGCAACATTTTTCAGCATCTGCAAACAATTCTCCATCACTGTATCTTAGGAAATTCAGTAACAGCAGTTCATGCTGATGCAGTTGGACCATACAGCCACGTGCAGATGAGTGTGGATGTTTGGTGCCCCAGGGACAAGCAGCAGCAGTGCCCTTGCACTGATGCTACTTGTCCCCAGGGAACGCCCATGCAACGCGTGCTTTGGCACACAGCAAATTACCCCAGGGGTGGTAGGGGAGGCTGAGGCCAGCACTGTGCTGGCCCCTGAAGCCTTACCTGAGGTCCTGGGGGCCTCCTGGGGCTGCAACAGTGGTGATCCTGCTCACAGAGCCTGGCTGGCAGCCACAGCACAGCTCCGGGCGACTTGGCTCAGCTTTTCAGTGGCACAGTGCATCTCTAGGGGAGATGATTGCACCACCTCTGGGGGGAGCTTGTTCCATAGTCTGGACACCCTAGTTGTGAAGAAGATTTTCCTAATGTTCAGCCTGAAACTATCTTCCAGGAGTTTGTGACCATTGTTTCTAGTTTTACCCCAGAGCGCCCTCGTGAACAGTTGTTCACCGAGCCCCTAATGTACGCCTCTGATATAGTGGTAAACCGCAATCAAGTCCCCTCTCAGCCTTCTTTTCTTTAGGCTGAAGAGTCCAAGATCCCTCAGCCTCTCCTCGTATGGCTTGCCATGCAAGTCCCTGATCATACACGTGGCCCTTCTCTGGACTGTCTCGAGCTTTAGCACATGCTTGTTGAAATGTGGCGCCCAGAACTGGATGCAATACTCCAGCTGCACCAAAGTTGAGCAAAGCGGGAGAATCACTACTTTGGTTTTACTGGAGATGCACCGATTGATGCATGCCAAGATATTGTTGGCCCTAATGGCTACTGCGTTGCGTTGCCGGCTCATATTCATGCTGGGGTCTATTGTTACCCCCATTTCCCTTTTGTTTGTGGTACTGGTCAGGTTAGCAATGCCCAGCCTGTAGGTGTGCTGGGGGTTCTTCCTTCCCAGATGCAGCACTTTTTGCATTTCTGTATGTTGAACCTCATCTGGTTCCATTCTGCCCAACATGCCAGCCTGTCCAGATCTGCTTGTATCTGCAGCCTATCTGCAGGTGTGTCCATGCAACCCCATTATCTTGGTATCGTACGCAAACTTGGCCAATGGACTTTTCACCCCCTCATCCAGGTTGCTGATGAAGATATTGAACAGCACTGAGCCAAGTACTGACCCCTGGGGTACGCCGCTGCCCACATCTTGCCAGGATGACACCAATCCTGTGACTGTATATGGCCAAACTCATCTCTATTTTTTCCAACTATGAGAAAAACAGTTTCAAGCAAATGACAATGAACAGCAAGTGGTTGGGGTCTGACAGCTTTTTGAACATGTTTGAGCTATCACAAGTTCATTTTCTGATTAATCTTATTTGGATACTGTATGTCCTACAGTCCAAAAGGCAGTAAAGTCCAAAAGGCAGTAAAGACAGTAAAGAAGTTCTTCCTTGTGTCCAGCATGAAACGGTCACGGAGGAGTTTGTGACCATTCGACCTTGTCATCCCTTGGGGCGCTCACCAGATCCCAGTGAGCACCCCTGATAAACTTACAGGTGGCCACCAGATCACCCCTGAGCCTGCACTTTTCCAGGCTGAAGAGTCCCATGATGTGCTAAACAGTTTTGGTGGTGGTGGTGGTGTTTGAAGTGGAGGGCACTTCTAACACCCAAGGAGCCTTCACCAAATCAGTGTGTCAATATTAGCTGTTGTAGGGGAGAGGGATTTTCAAAAGTGCTGAAAGGATGCAGGTATTGAAATCTGATTGACCTGCTTCAAGTGTTAAATAACTTAGGTCATGTCTATCCTGGCTTGCTGCTATGCTCAGACCATCCACCAAGAAATAGTCCTTGCCCGTTCACTTCTACTCTGACTCTATTTTAGTTCAGCAGTTAAGTAAGACAGACTGTTCAGAAACCAGGGAGTGGGATTAGGGCAAATTCTTTTAAGCTACCTAACTGGCTATGCATGGGTGGAGCTTGTTTTTCATGATAGTTTCACATTCAGCCGGCAGACAGTTTAGTTATGGCTTTATGTGCTTTTTAAAATTTTACCCTCAATCTTGATATGGGATTTTAGGCCTACAACCCTCCAGCTAGAAAGTCAGAAACAAACCATTCTTACCTCATTTCTCTCATACCACCCAATGTTTTGCATTTTTGAAAATGTCTGAGACCGTTTCACCACAAAATAAATGAGGTAACCACTTCCACATAAGCAGCATATGATGAGCACGTTTGCCAGAACTCGAAGGAATCTTCTCAAATGAATGTTCTCATCCTTGTTACTTTCTTGCTCATCCACAATAGACTCCTTAATAAATAGGTGAAGAATTGTAGTATGTGCATAGATTCAGAGGTTTAGACCAGAAAAGAATATAAGATTATTTTATCTAAAACATAAGGTCCTTACATTTCACTATTATCCCTGCACTGAGCTCAATGACTTGTTCTTGACTAAAGCATATCCAGAAAGACATCCAGTCTGGATTTGAACACATCAGGAGATGGAGAATCCAACACTTCGCTTGTAGTTTGTTTCAATGCTTAATTAGCCTCATTCTTAAAAATGTGTGTCAGATATCTATAGTGATATTTGGTGGGGGGCTTTGGCCAAGCTTCAGGTTACAGCCATCAGTTTGTCAAATGTCTCTCTCGCATAGATTATAGAGCCTTCTTTTATCCCAGTGAAGGAAAGTTTTTATGCTATGATTAATCTTCTTTTTTATAAACTAAATAATTTATTAAGTCACTCACATAAGTCATTCTGTCTATCCCTGAACCACCTGTGGCATTTTTTTTTCCTGAACCAGAGTAAACACTAACTCTAGAACATTTGGAAATAGCTTATGTGTTTTATCAAATGTCCTGGTTTTATCTATACTTGGTGCACTTGTGTCCTCTCTCCTTGGTTTTCCTTTAACAACAAAAAGTCAACTATTTTATGATTAACTACTAAATTATAAAGTTTACTTGATTAAACTTCATAATCTGAAGTATCAATAAGTAGCGTAATCTCCAATAGAATATATTTTTATTCTTTATATGAGCAAAGAAGCATTTGGCTATCGGTACATATTCCAACACCAAGTCACACAAAATAGTGGGAGGAAAAGACGATGATTAATGGATACTTTGATTAGTTAGAATTTTAACTCTTGACCTGAATCCAATATCGATTATAGAGTCCTTAACTTCATCAAACTAATCTTTTAATATTGGTCACACTCAAAATATTTGATGAAAAATGGCTTCTTAACCAAAAAAACTACTAGTTGGAAAATTCTAGAAACCCTGCCCCTATCTTTTTAGGTTAAAAAATGATTGGCATGGCTTTCCCTTAAGGTTTTTGCTGTTTTCATTCAGTGAGAAAAAATGTGATTTGGAAGGAAACTGACTTTTCTTGGAAACTGACTTTTCTGCTTGATTTCTGGATTTGCAATGAATTATGAAAAAAAATCCCTTGGATACTGGTTAAAATTGTCTGCTGAAATAGCCATTTTAAAATTAACTATAGTTGATCTTTTTATAGATTGCTCTTTTCCATAGCAACTTTCTTGGGAATTAATAAGGGTCAAATTCTGTTCTCAGCTAAGCAGAAAAACTGAATTCAGTGTAAAATAACAAAGAACACATGCAAATTCAAGGGCGATGCACAAGGGGTACACATGCACCCTCTGAGCATGGTGGTGCACCTCCTGCAAAAAGGCCACCAGCATCTGTGGGGGTCCACGATCGCCGCTGGCTGCTGCGGGTGGTTGCTGACCCCTGGTCAGTGTTTGCCACCCTCCCCCCCACTGCCACCAGTGCCAGCGGTGTTTGTGGGAGCTGCACGTTTACTGTCGCCAGGCTCTCGCCACCATGCTCCTGCCATTGCCAGTGCAGCCGTGCCCCGCCAGCCACTGGGGGCACCCGCCGTTCATGTTCAAATTAATGTAATGATTGTAGGCTCAAGACACTGTAACTTAAGTAGAATTTGGGCTTATGAGTTAACCTGCTGAAACTTTCTGGCAGACAGGCAGGTGGGTCTCATTTTAGCAAAGGGGATTTTAAATGAGATGAGAAAATAGGAGCAGCAAGAGGTCCTGCAAGGAGAAGCCCAGGAAATAACTATAATGTGATGGTGCATAGACTTAGTGGCTATAATCACAGTCTTATTTCTAAAACAGACTCTAATGCAGCAGGGAAAAAAAAACAATGCTAGGCAGGGAATAAGCCTGGACTGCTTATGGGTTTTTTTGGGGGTGGGACATCATCTTTTTCTTGACCATGAAAATTAGCATATAGATCCAAATTTCCTAAACCTACTTCATCCTTAATGGGAAGGAAAGAAAGTTCAATAGGAAATTGACCCTAATTGATATTTTTCATTCAGTGCTTAAAAGGAAATTTCAAAAGTATATACAGTGGGTTGCTCTTACTGGAATCACTTCAGGAAATGGTGATTTGATTCTATTAACTGGATGATTCCATTAAAAGGAGACCCATTTTTTTTTTTGTTTTTTTTAAGAACACAGATACTCATTCCTCCCCCATAGCTCCCTGGCCCTGCTTGTGCCTCTCACTCCCCCCTCCTCCCCGCAGCCTCCCCAGCCCTGCTGGTGCCCCTTGGCCCCAGCCACAGCCCCCTGACCCACCAAC